TTTACTTCCAACTATGTGGTCAATTTTGGAATAAGTGCGATGTAGTGCTGAGAAGAATGTATGTTCTGTTGATTTGGGCTGGAGAGTTCTGTAGATGTCTATTAGGTCCACTTGGTGCAGAGCGGAGTTCAACTCCTGGATATCCTTGTTAACCTTCTGTCTTGTTGATCTGTCTAATGTTGACAGTGGGGTGTTAAAGTCTCCCATTATTATTGTGTGGGAGTCTAAGTCTCTTTGTAGGTCTCTAAGGACTTGCTTTATGAATCTGGGTGCTCCTGTATTAGGTGCATATATATTTAAGATAGTTAGCTCTTCTTGTTGAATTAATCCGTTTATCATTATATAATGGCTTTCTTTGTCTCTTTTGATCTTTGTTGGTTTAAAGTCTGTTTTATCAGAGACTAGGATTGCAACCCCTGCTTTTTTTGTTTTCCATTTGCTTGGTAGATCTTCCTCCATCCCTTTATTTTGAGCTTCTGTATGTCTCTGCATGTGAGATGGGTCTCCTGAATACAGCACACTGATGGTTCTTGACTCTTTGTCCAATTTGCCAGTCTGTGTCTTTTAATTAGGGCATTTTGCCCATTTACATTTAAGGTTAATATTGTTATGTGTTAATTTGATCCTGTCATTATGATGTTAGCTGGTTATTTTGCTCATTAGTTGGTATAGTTTCTTCCTAGCATCGATGGTCTTTACAATTTGGCATGTTTTTGCAGTGGCTGCTACCAGTAGTTCCTTTCCATGTTTAATGCTTCCTTCAGGAGCTGTTGGAAGGCAGACCTGATGGTGACAGAATCTCTCAGCGTTTCCTTTTCTGTAAAGGATTTTATTTCTCCTTTACTTATGAAGCTTAGTTTGGCTGGATATGAAAGTCTGGGTTGAAAATTCTTTTCTTTAAGAATGTTGAATATTGGCCCCCACTGTCTTCTGGCTTGTGGAGATCTGCTGTTAGTCTGATGGGCTTCCCTTTGTGGGTAACCCGACCTTTCTCTCTGGCTGCCCTTAACATTTTTTCCTTCATTCCAACCTTGGTGAATCTGACAATTATGTTTCTTGGGGTTGCTGTTCTCAATGAATATCTTTGTGGTGTTCTCTGTATTTCCTGAATTTGAATGTTGGCCTGCCTTGCTAGGTAGGGGAAGTTCTCCTGGATAATATCGTGAAGAGTATTTTCCAACTTGGTTCCAATTCTCCCTGTCACTTTCAGGTTCACCAGTCAATGTAGATTTGGTCTTTTCACATAGTCCCATATTTCCTGGAGACTTTGTTCGTTTCTTTTTACTTTTTTCTCTAAACTTCTCATCTCACTTTATTTCATTAATTTGATCTTCACTGATACCCTCTCTTCCACTTGATCGAATCGGCTATTGAAGCTTGTGCATGTGTCACGTAGTTCATGTGCCATGGTTTTCAGCTCCATGAGGTCATTTAAGGTCTTCTGTACGTTGTTTATTCTAGTTAGCCATTCGTCTGATCTTTTTTCAAGGTTTTTAGCTTCCTTGTGATGGGTTTGAACATCCTCCTTTAGCTTGGAGAAGTTATTACCAAACTTCTGAAGCCTAATTCTGTCAGCTCATCAAAGTCATTCTCTGTCCAGCTTTGTTTCGTTGCTGGCGAGGAGCTGCGATCCTTTGGAGGAGAAGAGGTGCTCTGGTTTTTAGAATTTTCAGCTTTTCTGCTCTGGTTTCTCCCCATCTTTGTGGTTTTATCTACCTTTCGTCTTTGATGCTGGTGACCTACAGATGGAGTTTTTGTGTGGATGTCCTTTTTGTTGTTGTTGATGCTATTCCTTTCTGTTTGTTAGTTTTCCTTCTAAGAGTCAGGTCCCTCAGCTGCAGGTCTGTTGGAGTTTGCTGGAAGTCCACTCCAGACCCTGTTTTCCTGGGTATCACCAGCGGAGGCTGCAGAACAGCAAGTATTGCAGAACAGCAAATATTGCTGCCTGATCCTTCCTCTGGAAGCTTCATCCCAGGGGGACACCAGCCTGTATGAGGTGTCATTTGGCCCCTACTGGGAGGTGTCTCCCAGTTAGGCTACACAGGGGTCAGGGACCCACTTGAGGAGGCAGTCTGTCCATTCTCAGAGCTCAAACACGGTGCTGGGAGAACCACTACTCTTTTCAGAGCTGTCAGACAGGGACATTTAAGTCAGAAGAAATTTCTGCTGCCTTTTGTTCAGCTATGCCCTGCCCCCAGACGTGGGCTCTATAGAGGCTATAGGCCTTGCAGTGGGCTCCACCCAGTTCAAGCTTCCCTGGCTGCTTTGTTTACCTTCCCAAGCCTCAGCAATGGCGGACGCCCCTCCCCGTGTCAGGCTGCTGCATTGCAGGTCAATCTCAGACTGCTGTGCTAGCAGTGAGCAAAGCTCTGTGGGCGTGGGACCCATGAAGCCATGCGTGGGATATAATCTCCTGGTGTGCCATTTGCTAAGAGTGTTGGAAAAACTCAGTAGTTGGGCGAGACTGTCCCGATTTTCCAGGTGCAGTCTGTCACAGCTTCCCTTGGCTAGGAAGGGTAAATCCCCTGACCCCTTGTACTTCCCGGGTGAGGCAATGCCCCGCCCTGCTTTGACTCATCCTCCGTGGGCTGCACCCACTGTCCAACCAGTCCCAATGAGATGAACCAGGTACCTCAGTTGGAAATGCAGAAATCCCCATCTTCTGTGTCAGTCATGCTGGGAGCTGCAGACCGGAGCTGTTCCTGTTTGGCCATCTTGGAACAGAATCTCTCATGATCGCCATTCTAACGTGTGAGATGGTATCTCATTGTGGTTTTTATTTTATTTTATTTTATTTTTTTGAGACAGAGACTTGCTCTGTTGCCCAGGCTGGAGTGGTGTAGTGGCGCGATCTTGGCTCACTGCAATCTCCGCCTCCTAGGTTCAAGCGATTCTCCTGCCTCCGAGACTCCCAAGTAGCTGAGACTACAGGTGTAGCATGCCACCACGCCCAACTAATTGTTTGTATTTTTTTTTCTTTAATAGTAAAGGGGTTTCACCTGTTAGCCAGGATGGTCTCGATCTCCTGATCTCACGAGTTGCCCACTTCGCCCTCCCAGAGTGCTGGCATTACAGGTGTGAGCCACCATGCCTGGCTGATTTGCATTTCTCTAGTAACTAGTAACGATGAGCTTTTTTTTCACATGTTTGTTGGCTGCATAAATGTCTTCTTTTCAGAAGTGTCTGTTCATATCCTTTGCCCACTTTTTGATGGGGTTGTTTGTTTTTTTCTTATAAATTTGTTCAAGTTCTTCATAGATTCTGGATATCAGCCCTCTGTCAGAAGGATAGATTGCAAAAATTTTCCCCCATTCTGTAGGTTGCCTGTTCACTCTGATGATAGTTTCTCTTGCTGTGCAGAAGCTCTTTAGTTTAATTAGATCCCATTTATGAATTTTGGCTTTTGTTGCCATTGCTTTTGGTGTTTTAGTGATGAAGTCTTTGTCCATGCCTATGTCCTGAATGGTATTGCCTAGGTTTTCTTATAGGGTTTTTATGGTTTTATGTCTTACATTTAAGTCTTTAATCCATCTTGAGTTAATTTTTGTGTAAGTTTTAAGGAAGGGATTCAGTTTCAGTTTTCTGCATATGGCTAGCCAGTTTTCCCAACACCATTTTAAAAATATGGAATCCTTTCCCCATTTCTTGTTTTTGTCAGGTTTGTCAAAGATCAGATGGTTGTAGATGTGTGGTATTATTTCTGAGGCCTCTGTTCTGTTCCATTTGTCTGTCTTTCTGTTTTTGTAGCAGTACCATGCTGTTTTGGTTACTATAACCTTGTAGTATAGTTGGAAGTCAGGTTGTGTGATGCCTCCAGCTTTGTTCGTTTTGCATAGGATTGTCTTGCAATTATCTCTATGGGCTCTTTTTTGGTTCCATATGAACTTTAAAGTAGTTTTTTTTCTAATTCTATAAAGAAAGTCAATGGTAGCTTGATGGGAAGAGCATTGAATCTGTAACTTACTTTGGGCAGTATGGCCATTTTCACAATATTGATTCCTCCTATCCGTGACCATGGAATGTTCTTCCATTTCTTTGTGCCTTCTCTTATCCTTTGAGCAGTGGTTTGTAGTTCTCCTTGAAGAGGTCCTTCACATCCCTTGTAAGTTGTATTCCTAGGTATTTCATTCTCTTTGTAGCAATTGTGAATGGGAGTTCACTCATGATTTGACCCTGTTTGTCTATTATTGGTGTATAGGAATGCTTCTGATTTTCGCACATTGACTTTGTATCCTGAGACTTTGCTTATCAGATTAAGGAGATTTTGGACTGAGATGATGGGGTTTTCTAAATATACAATCGTGTCATTTGCAGACAGAGACAATTTGACTTCCTGTCTTCCTATATGAATACCCTTTATTTCTTTGTCTTGTCTGATTGCCCTGGCCAAAACTTCCAATACTATATTGAATAGGAGTGGTGAGAGAGGGCATCCAACCCCTTGCGCTTCCCAGGTAAGGCGACGCCCCACCCTGCTTCGGCTCACCCTCCGTGGGCTGTACCCACTCTCTAACCAGTCCCAATGAGATGAGTCAGGTACCTCAGTTGGAAATGCAGAAATAACCCGCTTTCAGTGTTGATCTCACTAGGAGCTACAGACGGGAGCTGTTCCTTTTCGGCTACCTTGGCAGCCCCCAGTTCATCTTTTTAATGCATTTCAAAGTAAATTAAAAATATTAGTATATTTTACCCTATAAACTTCTTAAGCATATCTGTACTAATCTTTGTATTATTCCTCTGTCATCTAAGCTTGGCTTTTGAAATAGTTAATTCTTAGCATTTCAGAAGCCAGATAATTTTGCTGGTCTTTTGTTTGTTTTTTCCTTAAAACAAAGTCTTTAATATACCGCTGAACTGGAAATGAGGAACTACTACTAAAAGTACACAAACATTAAAATTTTTAATTGTATTAAATCTTTCTGAATTTTCTTCTGACTGTAATTCAGTGTTTTGCTTTCTGCTTAACATTAAAATAATTTTGGATATGTATATTCTTTTAGATACCTTTGTCTGGATATGGAGGAACAAGCAATCTTATTTTGGAAGGCGTTAAAAAATTATCTGACAGTTACATGGTAACAGTGAATGGCTTAGTACCTGGCAAAGAAAGTAAAATTGTTTTTTCTGTCCGCAACACTGGCTCCCGAGCAGCTTTTGTTAAAGCAGTAGGTTTTAAGGATTCTCAGAAAAAAATTTTGCTGGATCCTAAAGTATTGAGGATTTTTCCAGATAAATTTGTACTCAAGGAAAGAACACAAGAAGTAAGTATAAAAGTTTCTGTGCTAACAACATCAACTCATTTTAAAATTAAGTTAATAATTATGTATTTTAAAGCCAAAAGCTAAAATAATATTTGAAAATAATGTAGGAGTGGACATACTTATGTGATGTTGGAAATGCCATGCACATGCACTTGTGTCTATGTCAGATATTTAGACTCATAAGATTGTTGAATCAGAATGAAATTACTTAAAAATATTTAATATTTACTCCTGATTTTTTTTTCTTGGCATCAGGATGTTACTTTAATATATAATCCATCAGACAGAGGAATCAATAATAAAACTGCAACAGAACTATCAACTGTATACTTATTTGGTGGAGATGAAATTTCAAGACAGCAGTATCGCAGGTAGATGACTTATCTTACACAATGCTGGGAACCATTCAGTAGAAATGATGAAGGCTTCTGTGGCTTGGGATGTGGAATTTGTAGAACATTTCACTATTAGTGAATTGGTAGATGAAAAATCATGGTAGAATTTATGTGGGTGATAAGCTACCACAATGTGAGGAAAAAATACCCGTAGGAAACTCATCTCCTATATTTCCTCAGAATGTGCCTTCTTTTCTAGATGAATGTATTGTGCCACTCTTCCCTTACTCATTAGCTGCATCATACTTCATAATAGGACTATTTTTATAATGTACTCTTGATGACATGTCAAGTGACCGTGTCAGTTTTATAAAAGATTAGAAACTACTGAATGATTATATTGTATAAACAGATGACTAGTTAGTAATATTTCTGGGAATGCTGTGAATTATTTGAAAGGATCAAGTCAAATTTTCGAAATGTATAAGATGTTTAGCTTGCAGCTATTTAAAAAGTACAAACTACTGTAAAATCTGATCTATCTAATGTAAATATAGGGCAGGCTACGTGGCTCATGCCCAGCACTTTGGGAGGCTGAAGTGGGAAGATTGCTTGAGGCCAGGAATTCAAGACCAGCCTGGGCAACATAATGAGACCCTGTCTCTAGAAAAGAAATAGAAAATTCAGTTGGGTGTGGTGGTGTGCCCCTGTAGTCCTCACTGCTTCGGAGGCTGAGGTGGGAAAATCACAGTCCCAGGAGTTCAAGGCTGCAGTGAGCTATGATTGCACTCCAGCCTTGGCGACAGAGCCAGACCTCTCAAATAAATAAATAAATAAATAAATAGATAGATAGATAGATAGATAGATAGATAGATAGATAGATAGATAGATAATTTAAACATAGTTTGATATGCTGAAGTGTTGGAAAATTTAGGATGTTGATTTAGGTTTAAGTGTGATTCAAAGATATGAATTCTCTCATTGTAAATTGTAGTTTCCTAGACTAAAGGACCTAAACACAGGATGAGTGCAGCTCATGGTGTGTCACCTGCTAATAAAAAATCGTTAGAAAGGGGGTGTGGAGGAATACGCCTGTCTCCTTCCAACCCTTTGTGCTTGGCTGTGTTTTATTCTGATACAGAATTTGGGAAATTGTTTTGTTTTTAATTTGTTGAGGGTCATTGGAATGTTTTACAAGAGGGAATTTAATGGCGGCTTGCTACATGATGTTAGAACAGACCAAATAAAAAGCTTGCCTTTGGACCTGGTTTTGTTTCTTTTTTAAGTATTTTGGAAATAGAAACTGACATTTGGAGAAATCATATTATGAGGTATTCTGATGTTTTTCTTTTTCTCAATTGGGATATAGAAGTCAGCGTATTGTTTTCAAACTCCTCTTTGACATAAAATTATAGTAGTGAGATTTTCTTTGTGGACATCTGAGTATTATAGAGAAATTTACATTTCAGTTTTCTCACTTCAGATTCTCTGGAAGGAGCCAGATAAACATGGTTATATGGTAATTGAGATATTCCCCTTCAAATCTTCCCATTTTTTAGCATGTTCTTTTGTGTTCTGAGACAAATTTCTAGCTATTACCACATTATCACAAATAATGAAAATGTAGGACCTGAAAAGAATCTAGTTTTACTCTTCTTTTAGGGAATCCTTGTTTGATGTTAATATTTAACTGAAACTGATAATTTTACTACCATGTGTAAATTTCGAGGGAACTTCCAAAACAGATTTTTCTTTTAGGTGTAAGGTCTGTGTACTGATATTTCAGTATTAGTGGGATTTGCCAAATGCATTAGTGAAAATCTAATTAAAGTTATTTTATATATAATGGCACTTTTAAATAATAATAAAAAAAATCTCTCATGCCAGGGCCCTGTTACATAAGCCAGAGATGATAAAAGAGATACTTCCAGAACACAGTGTGTTTCAAAACATTAATTTTGTTGAAGCGTTTCAAGATGAGCTATTAGTAACTGAAGGTAAGAATTTCGGCATGTCTTGATGTATTAAATCTTTTGGGTCGTTTATAGTATTATCTAGGTCCAGTAATGTGATATAAGAAGGAAGTGTTAGTTTAGATACAGTGTCAGGCAGAGTTTGAGCCACAGCCCTGCTGTATGAGTTTGAACAAATTACATTATTGAATATCAGTTTCCTTATCTTGTAAATGGGAGGAGGAGCGACATCTAGCTTTTCATCCATACGGAGTTGTTAACAAGGATTCAGTGAAAGAGCTTTGCTGCTGTATAAATGTTACATGTTACTAATACTTTCTGCACTTATTCTCTAGGCAACCTTGTAAACAGGAAGAAGAAAATGGTCATTATTAAATCAAATTAATTGCTACTTAGATTTGATTGTAAACTCGCACTCATTTTGAGGTTACTGTTCTATTGTGCCTATTGTAAGATTTATGGAAGATGCAGTGGTGGCAAAAAATCTTCAAAATAGGTAGTGATAAGGTGACACTAACCTAGATGGTTAGCCCTGTTTATACTAAACATTTCAAATATTTAACAGTATTTATTATTCCTACAAAATATAAATATATTGAGACATACAGACTGTGTAAAAATGTATATACGGATTTTCACCATAGTGTTGTTTATAATAGCAAGAAGCTAGAAGTAACCTTAATGCCCAAGAATAGGGAGTCATTTAATTATGCAGTAGAATTTTTTTTTTTTTTTGAGATGGCGTCTTGCTCTGTCCCCCAGGCTGGAGTGCAGTGGCACGATCTCTGCTCACTGCAAGCTCTGCCTCCCGGTTTCACGCCATTCTCCTGCCTCAGCCTCCCGAGTAGGTGGGACTACAGGCCACCACCACACCCAGCTAATTATTTTGTATTTTTTAGTAGAGACGGGGTTTCACCATGTTAGCCAGGATGGTCTCGATCTCCTGACTTCTTGATCCCCTCGCCTCTGCCTCCCAAAGTGCTGGGATTACAGGCGTGAGCCACCGCGCCCGGCCACAGTAGAGTATTTTGAAGCCATTAGAACAATAATGTGAATCTGTTCTGAATGACATGGAAAGCTCTTCATTTATCACAAAACCTTTTTGAAGTTTGCATAGTAAGATATCATTTTGCTAAAAATTATTACATATATTTACATAAGTAAAATTACAGGCATATACACACCAAAAGAATAAGTGGCTAGTTTTGGTGGTAAATTTCTGGTGGTAGTTTTTCCCTGTTTTTATTTTCTACTTTTTTAGTGATGGATTATATTTTGCTTCTGAAATATGAAGTGATGAAAGGACATTTATGCCTTGGTAGGGGTGATGTTGAATAGTCTGTGAACTTTTCAATAAGTGGGTGTCTAGATCATCTGCTCAAAGGGAAGGCAAGGATGAGTTAGTTAAAAATGACAAAAAGAGGCCGGGCGCGGTGGCTCAAGCCTGTAATCCCAGCACTTTGGGAGGCCGAGACGGGCGGATCACGAGGCCAGGAGATCGAGAGACAATCCCGGCTAACACGGTGAAACCCCGTCTCTACTAAAAAATACAAAAAAACTAGCCGGGCGAGGTGGCGGGCGCCTGTAGTCCCAGCTACTCGGGAGGCTGAGGCAGGAGAACGGCGTAAACCCGGGAGGCGGAGCTTGCAGTGAGCTGAGATCCGGCCACTGCACTCCATCCAGCCTGGGTGACAGAGCAAGACTCCGTCTCAAAAAAAAAAAAAAAAAAAAGACAAAAAGACTTGAAATGGACTTGTTAGGAGTGTGCTAGGGGACCAGAGCAAAGGAAAAAAGCCTTGGATTTGAAGTGGAAACTGAAGACCCATCCGTCCCACTGCAGCCCCACCTCTTCCTCAAAGGAAGGATCCAAATACGAGATAAGCTGAACTGTGCTATGGAGATGGAACACTAACACTTAGTAACACGGTGCAACTGTGGTGAAGACTGTAGGGAGCCAGAGTTTGCAGTGGTTCAGAAGGTGGCATAGCCCCACCATACAACGACAGTCCTCTCGTTGAATGGTGGATGCATCCTGAGAAGACAGAGTGCCAGTAGGTCTATGGACACTGGATGCAGAGGTACTGGATGCTGTCCTTGTCCATGAGGGGCTTACAGACTCAGGGGAAGACAGATGACTCAGGTGTGATGTGAAAAGTGCCGTGATAGAGAGAGCTGTGTTTATAAATCTGGGAGGGCACCTCACTTAGAATGAGATGATTCTTGAGGTATACTTGAAGAAAAAGGAGGAGGTGGTAAGGTGAAGATGAGACCTGAATAAGGGCGAATGCTCCAGGTAGAGCTGCATGTCCAAAAATTAAGTACACATAATGTATTAAGAGTTGTGTTGACACAGCCAACCAAGAGCTCAAGTAGCTGTCAAGATCACCCATCTAAGATGGGGTTGAGCTGGGACTCAGGCCAGGTCTTTGGGACACCAGAATTTCACCTCAAGGAATACTGTATTCCTTGTGATTATATATGTATTGTCCAGATGAACGGAGAAAACAGTTTCACTTTATTTGTTGGTTTGTACCATAGATCACCTGTGAGTACACTGCAGATGAAGCTTTTATGTGATGAATTTCAGTAACATTTCGTTGAGCATGTTACTGTTCCAAAGATTTGTAACAATCTTGCTTTTACAAAATGTGTAATTTATGGCACATATTTTTGTAGTTGATTTAAACTTTTTCAGTCAAGAGTCTTGGTTAAGTTATAAATCTAAATTTATAGTTACTGTGTTCTTTTAAAATTTCCACGTCAAAATATATGATACTCAAAGACCATCTAATTTAACATTTCTTGTATATACAAATTTGGGTGGCCTAATCTAGAGATGTTAATCTTGAATACTGTTTCACTAATCTAATTATATTAGTAGTGCTGGTTTCTAGATTTACTTTAAATTGAATGTCCGTGAGACTGCTACTTAAAAATCACGGACTCTTAACTTCTGTGCTTCAGATTCTTCCTCTTTGCAGTAGGGGTAACAGTACCTATCTCAAAGAATTGTTTTGAAAATTAACTAAATTAATATATATAAAGAGATTAGAACAATGTCTACATTAAGCTTCATATAAATGTTTGTTGCCGAATATATCTGCAAAAGCATTCTTATTTTAATGCTCACAACCCCTGATACAGATCGTTACTCTGTATTGTAGTTGAGGAAACTAAGTTCAGAGAGGTTAAGTAACTTGCCAAAAGTCACAAAGTAAATGAGTGGCAAAGGTAGTTCAAATTCAGGTTCCAAGTCTGAGCTGTCAGCCACTGGTGCTGAATTCACTGTAATTTTGTGCCAGGAGGTATACTACTAATCCTAATGTCACCTCCCCCAACCCAGGAAACTAATATTCTATAGCTGTAAATATACAAATGTATCTGTTACTTTGTGGTGTGCTTGTGTGAACATTAATGTATTTCAAACATTATTTTCTATTTCAGTATATGATATTCCCCAACGGCCTAATGATGTTCAGCTCTTTTATGGAAGCATGTGTAAAATTATACTTTCAGTAATTGGAGAATTCAGAGATTGCATTTCTAGCAGAGAATTCCTTCAGCCTTCTTCCAAAGCTAGCTTGGAATCTACAAGGTAAAAGAAATGACCTGATTTCAGGATGATTCGATTCATAGCAAAGCTGATCTTTTTTCCTGTACTTTACTATTATTATTATTTTGTCTCAAAATTTTTATTTCACCTTTATTTTAAAATTTAAGTTGAAATAATTTCAAACTTTCAGGAAAGTTTAGAAATAGTGCAGAGAATTCCCATATACGCTGCACTCAGACTCACGTTGTTTTACCACCTTTACCTTATCATCCTCTATTTATATGGAACATTTTTCTGAACCATCTAAGAGTTTCAGGCATGATAACCAATTAGCCCTAAATGTCCTAAAAACACTCTCCTATGGCCGGGCGCGGTGGCTCACGCCTGTAATCCCAGCACTTTGGGAGGCCAAGGCAGGCGGATCACAAGGTCAGATCGAGATCATCCTGGCTAACGCGGTGAAACCCCGTCTCTACTAAAAAAAAATACAAAAAGCTAGCCGGGCGAGGTGGTGGGCGCCTGTAGTCCCAGCTACAGGGGAGGCTGAGGCAGGAGAATGGTGTGAATCCAGGAGGCGGAGCTTGCAGTAAACCGAGATGAGGCCATTGCATTCCAGCCTGGGCGACAGAGCAAGACTCCGTCTCAAAAACAAAACGAAGAAAACAATCTCCTACATAGCCCTGGAAAACTCATCCAAATTAGGACGTTTAATAGCAATACACTACAATCATTTAGTCCACAGGTTCCATCCACACGTTGTTTGTTCCAATAATGTCCTTTATATTATAGTTAAATGACAAAACAACAACAAAAAATAACCTTCATCTTTGCCGCTTCCTCTCTGGTCCAGAATGTAATCTAACATCACATGCTGCATTTAGTTATGCTGTCTGCTTACTCTCTTTCAGAATAGAGTTCCTTAGCCTTTCCTTATCTTTCCTGACTGAGATAATACAGAAGGTTCGATTATTGTATCAGATCCACGAAATCAAAGACTTCACCCAGAATTAAGCTTACTAGTAACTTTAGGTGAAGCCTGGAGAAGTCTGGGACTGGTGGTGGCGCTTCCTAGGTCCTTTCGGCCGCATTAATACTTGAGCTCTTGTTCAGTTTTGACACCAGGTCTCTAAATTGTGCGTGTGCTACATGGCTTACCCGAAAGGAGGAGCTGTATTGAGCATGAAAGTTCTATTTTGCACTTTGATAATTACATGACTTATGTGGTAATTTTTCAAATAACTGTATCCCATAAAATCAGAAGCTTCAGGTTTCTTTACCAGAAATAATTCTAGACAGAGCAGATACATCTTGCAAAAAGCATTCCATAGATAAGGACATCAGTGTGTTTGCTAGGAGATCTGTCACTAGCAAGATCACTAGCAGATTTCACCAAATCACCTTTCTTTTTTATTGAGCATTCCTTGGTAAAAAGGAGAAAATAGATTGCAGGCCAACTGCTAACCCTTTCTTACCAATGACCTTGATGTTTTTTTGGAGTCCAGGCCAGTTACTTTGTAAAACATCCCACAATTTCAGTTTGCAGATTCAATTTTCACACTTTTGGCAGGAATGATGCTGTTTGTTTTCTCAGTGCATCTTCTCAGGCAGTGTACAATGCTAGTTTGTGCTATCACTTAGTTAAAAATGGTGCCTGCCAGATTTCTCCACTGTAAGCTGATGAATATCTTAGAGGGAGTTCCTTAAAGATCATCATTATCTGTTCCTTATCAAACTGTGAGCATCCATTGATGCTTGTTGCCTGAATTATTTTCATCATGGTTACCAAAGGGTGATTTCTAATTCCATCTTTCTACATGTATTAATTGGCTTTTTCCTATGAGGAAGAGATTTGCTTTTGGCCTTTTTGTGTAATGAGTCACTGATACTGGAGTGGGCTCGTGGGTGCAGTGTGGGTCCTTCACTGTCGTTATTTGGTCCTGCATTGCATTCTGGCTTCCGGTCCTTTTGATGGGTCCCCGTCCTTCTTTGAGCACTTTCTTACTCATTGGCACAGCAGGATGTTTAGGCTCATCCTGTACTTTCCCTGCGCTCCCCACCCCGCCCCCTGGAATAACCATTTCTCTCAGAAGCTGAGAGTAGAGAATGAATGGTGTTAGAAACCAGGGTGCAGGCACTAGGTGTACTCATGCTGTTGAGATACCCTTGCTTCTAGGCTCTCCCTGTGGACAAACCCAGGAAATGTGGACTAATACACAAATCCACACACTTCTGTATTTACTTGTGTTTATAAATATGTTAAATGAGCTTCCTCTGAAGCCTCCAATTCTAGTCTAACACCACAGTGCCTTTCCACATTTATACCCTTTTCTCCAGTACTGGGAACCCTGGCCCCATTATCCTCAACATATTTACGTTTTTACTTAATCCTCCAATTTTTAACTAATCTTTCCATTGCACGGCTGTCTCCCTGAGCTCAGTGCCGCTGACCCAGACTGGCTGACTGTTCCCTGCAAGTCCCAGTGCAACCACCCACCCCTGTCACCCCTATACTTCATGTATTTTTTTAAAGACAGGGTTTTGCTGTGTAGCCCAGGTTGGCCTCCTGGCCTCAAGTAATTCTTCTGCCTTGGCCTTCCTGGTAGCTGGGACTACAGACACCTGCCACCACTCCCAGCTAATTTTTCTTTTATCTTTTTGTAGAGGTGGTGTCTTGCTATGTTGCCTAGGCTGTTCTCAAACTCCTAGCCTCAAGCGATCCTCCCGCCTCGGCCTCCCAAAGTGCTGGGATTATAGGCATGAGCCACCACACCCAGCCTATACACACTGTAAACTATACACAATATGAATAATTTTTATTTGCTAAAAAATACCTGATATATAATGCACTTTTAACTTTTAATGTTTTTAGATTTATGAAGAATTAGTATAAAAGTATGTGATACAATCTGGTCTTTTATCATTTTTAACTTGTGTCTCTGTCTCTTGTCTTTTTCATTTTTAAATAATTTTTTAGCGACTTGGAAGCTTCTGGGAGACATGGTGGCAACATCTCTTTGGATGTTTTACCAGTCAAAGGTCCTCAAGGTTCTCCTCTTCTCTCACAGGCGGCTCGCCCGCCTCCGGATCAGCTGGCCTCCGGAGAGCCCTGGACTGTCCTGCCCGAGCACTTGATTCTAGTAGCTCCTTCTCCTTGTGAGTATGTCAGCTGTGACACCTCAGAGGTTTGTTCTGGCGTCTGGGCCTGTACTTCCTTTGTACCCATGGCCCATCCAAGACACACATGGGCTCTTGCACATTGAGCTGTGCCTTGCCCAGGTCCTGCTTCCACTGTTGGAGACCCCACTCAGACTTGCCTAGAGCAGAGTCCTTGTCCCAGGGCCACACTCCTCAACGAGGCTCCCAGTTCCCCAGTGGCAGAGCCACACCCCTGCCCACAGAGATACAGCATTGGTGCAGAGTAGAGTGAATCTGCTACGCAGGTGTGTGCTCAGGTTAAGACCAAGCAGTGACAATTTCCAGGTTTCCTTTTTCCTTTTGTTTACCACCAAGGATTGGAAATTTCTGTAATTGCGCAGTTGAGAAAGCAGTAGCATACTCATGTATCTATTTAGGGTTCTGGTTTATTAGTTGTTAACATTTGTCTTTTTCACTGTTGTTAAATGTAAGTAACATTTTATTTATCTGACAAAATAGGTGACATGGCAAAAACTGGACATTTTCAGATTGTGAATAACTCTGTGAGGTTATTGAGATTTGAGCTGTGCTGGCCAGCGCATTGCCTCACAGTCACACCGCAGCATGGATGTGTCGCCCCAGAGTAAGTCTGACTTCTGTGTTCTCTGCGTGTTACTTAGATGCTGGCTTGGTGACTTTGTAAAGGTCAAATAATATGTCATTGTAGTTTATCCAGTTAAATTTGGCACCGTGCTGACTCTGCACAAAGCGCGTGCGTGGTTCTGCAGGTCAGCTGTGGGCTCCAGTGGCAGGCGGACTAGTGGAGCAGAGATCTGCACACAGCTGGTTATGTTGTCACCCAGGAGGGTAAAGGGACACACACATTTGAGGTGGAACAGAGTCCCTGGTGTGAAGACTTCAGAGCGTTTCCTTCTTAGGACTCTGCCCACAAAATGACAAAGCAAGGAATGCAGCTGGACATGGGATGAGGGGTCGCGATGTGTCCCGAGCCCAAACACTTCTGCCGCTTCTTATCTTGGTTTGAGTTTTGTGTTCTGTTTTTCTGAATGTTTTTCAGACAAAGCTTCCTCACTTTTAGTATGTATGAGCCATAACCTTGCCGACAGTTTTCTATGTAGAGTATTCTAGGACAGAAGGACATCTCTTGGGGCCAGCCATTTACACACGGCCACAGCCTGTCCACAGCCTGGTTGTTGATAGGTGGGAAAGCCATAGCTCTGCGGCGTTTCGGGACCTCACCTGGCCAGCGCGTGGCGCCCATGCCTGTGTGTTCCCTTCTATCTGGGATTAGCAGCTTTGCAGAGAGACCACATGAAGTTTATTTAGTTTTTGCAAAATGATATGCTGAAACTTTAGGAGAGTTTACTTGACTGAGACTTTGAGCTGAGGCATGGTTAGGGATACTCCAGAGAGACGTTGTGGGAACCAGAGCAGTCAATTCGGCATGCAGCAAGTGTTTCTCATGTGCCACACACCCTTTCAGCTAACGGCAGAGCAGGTTCCTCACAGGCCGCTTTTTCTGTAGCCTCATGTGTTCGTCAGGGGAAGACAATCTTGCCCTGTCATTTTTGACATGTTGACGGAAATAGCTTTTCAGTCTGGTGATTTCTTTAAAAATCACAAGCCTGATCCCATTGTCCACTTTTAAACTCTTCTCTGGCATCCCCTGGCTCTTGAAGAGACTATTGAGCCCAGAAAATATGAGCAGCCGGCTCATATAGAAACACATTTTTTTCTTCATTTCTTCTCCATCTCCCCCACCCTTTTTTCCAGTTTCCTCTGCAGCTGCTTCATTCTCCCCATGCTGCACCTACGTTCTTCTTCACTGTCACATGGCTCAGAGCGCTTCATTCTCCCCGTGCTGCACCTACATTCTTCTTCACTGTCACGTGGCTCAGAGCGCTTCATTCTCCCCGTGCTGCACCTACGTTCCTCTTCACTGTCACGTGGCTCAGAGCGCTTCATTCTCCCCGTGCTGCACCTACATTCTTCTTTATTGTCACGTGGCTCAGAGCGCTTCATTCTCCCCGTGCTGCACCTACATTCTTCTTCTTTTTTTTTTTTTTTTTTTTTTTGAGACGGAGTCTCGCTCTGTAGCCCAGGCTGGAGTGCAGTGGCCGGATCTCAGCTCACTGCAAGCTCCGCCTCCCGGGTTCACGCCATTCTCCGGCCTCAGCCTCCCGAGTAGCTGGGACTACAGGCGCCCGCCACCTCGCCCGGCTAGTTTTTTTGTATTTTTAGTAGAGACGGGGTTTCAGCGCGTTAGCCAGGATGGTCTCGATCTCCTGACCTCGTGATCCGCCCATCTCGGCCTCCCAAAGTGCTGGGATTACAGGCTTGAGCCACCGCGCCCGGCCCCATTCTTCTTTATTGTCACGTGGCTCAGAGCGCTTCATTCTCCCCGTGCTGCACCTACGTTCTTCTTTACTGTCACGTGTCTCAGAGCGCTTCATTCTCTCCGTGGCACCTACATTCTTCTTCACTGTCACATGGCTCAGAGCTTTTGTAGTCTTGGTCTTTTGCGCTAGAAATTTTTACCGTGAGTTGCTTTTAAAATGATATTCCTCAGTCATGGTTTGTTTTCACATGAGTTTTGCCCTTGTGTCATGGGTTCGCACTGGCGAGTTCCTTGTTAGCCGTCGAGTCGGGTGGAGGTGGGCCGAGCGCGTGGGAGCCGCGTGGAGTGAGCTCTGTTCTCTGCTCTGCCTGAGCAGTGAGGAAATGGCCATTGGCTGGTAGACAGTATTTATAACTCCTGTGATTACTGCTGTTAAAATGCAGGCTCTTTCTAATTTTCTTACTAATTTTTTTTTAAAGGAGTAAACTACAAATTCTTGTGAGTCCTAATTCCTCCTTATCCACAAAACAGTCAATGTTCCCCTGGAGTGGTTTGATCTATATACACTGTGATGCTGGACAGAAGGTACTTTTAAAAGTGGTTTGGTTTTTCTTTGAGTGACAGTTGTGTTAGTTTGTAGCTTCAGTTTCATAATCCTTATTAGCACTTAATTTCAGAAATCAAATGGAAGTATACTTGGCACTTCATATTTGTGGGTTCCACATCCAAGGACTGAAATTATTCAACCACAGACTGAAATTATTTGGGGGAAAAATAATACAAATAAATACAGTATAACAAATGTTTGCATAGCATTTGCACTGTATTAGGTATTATAAGAACCCTAGAGGTGAACTAAAGTGTATGGGAGGATGTATGTAGGTTATGTGCAAATACTGTGTCACTTTATATACAGGACTTGAGCATTGAGGATTTTAGCGTCCTCAGGGGATCCTGGAACTGATCTGCCGTGGATACCGAGGCATGATTATTTGTATTCTGAGGCCAACTAGTTAGAGCATTGGTATAGAATTTTTCCATAGTGATCAGAACAGTTATCTTGGGGAATGGGTGTAGAGAGTGGAGCCTAGAACTGATTACTAATTTTCGAAATTTGCTTTAAAAACAAAGGCAGTGGGAGAGAGGAGACAGAGTCACAGATTTACCTTGAGATCTAAATAAATAAACTTTAATTCCTAAATTTATTGATGTTTCATTTGTTTGGCATTTCTTTTCTCTACCATGATTTAAAAATGGAATTGTTTCGTTTAAAATGATAGGTATGTTTTTTGTAGCTTATCCCTGTCTTTGGCTCATTTCAGAAAATTGTGAAAGTTCAGATTCGAGAAGATTTAACTCAGGTGGAACTTTTAACTCGTTTGACCTCCAAACCATTTGGAATTCTTTCCCCAATATCTGAGCCTGCAGTCAGTCATTTGGTGAAACCAATGACAAAACCGCCTTCCACAAAAGTTGAAATAAGAAAGAAGAGTATTACTTTTTCTACAACAGAACCTGGTGAAACTTCAGGTATTGTATCACAAAATTATGTAATTCAAATGTCTGCTGATATATTGAGTCTATGCTTAATTCTTAGCCATAATAAGTTGGTGATAAATACAGATTTCCTCCTCCTTCAGGGGGAAAGTGGTCACTAGCAATCATTTCCATGATGGGCTGGATTTGGGATCTAAACAATCTTGATATGTGAAATCTTGGCATTTACTAACTGTGTGTATTCCAGGAATCCTAGCTTTTATTTGATGGTCAGAATCTTTCCTGTGCAACTCTCACAAGATCCTTGACCACAGTTGTTAATAAGTTAGCAGATGAAGAAGGCAGGCCAGTGGTGGAGCCCGGCTTCATCACTGACTCACGTGACCTTGAGGCTCCAGACAGGTCCAGTAGACTTGCTCAGTTTCCCCGTTTGTAAAATGGCCTTTGGAATTAACTCCTTCCAGAGAAGGCTTCGAGGATAAATTCAGTAATTCCTGTATGGGCAGACCCTGACTTACGGTGGCTCGATTTACCATTTTTTGACCTAGTGGTGGTGTGAAAGCCATGTGCATTCAATGAAAATCGCACTTTGATTTTTGACCTTGCCCTGGGTAGCGACACATGGTGCTGCACCCTCTTGTGATTCTGAGCGGCGGTAACCCTGAGCCACAGCTTCTAGTCAGCCGCGATCACAAGGGTGAACAGCGGATACTGTATTCTGCAGTGCACTGTCTTCAGTAAATGACATGAGATATTCCACCCCGTGTTATAAAATGAACTTTGTGTTAGAGGATTTGCCCATCTGTGGGCTCAGGTAAGTGTTCTCAGCACGTTTCAGGCAGGCTCGGCTAAGCTATGATGTTGCGTAGGTTAGGGGGATTAAATGCATTTTCCACTTAGGTTCATTGCAACTTAGGATGGGTTTATTGGGACATGAGGAGCATTCGTGTTCAGTGGTAATGATACATGTACAGCAGTTAGCATGCTGTTTGTTGTCCGTTAGGCACTCTGTATTGCTGACATTCCTCCAGAGTCCTGAGATCATTTCTTTTTGTCCCTGTCTGTCTCTCTCACTGCTGGCTCAGGCTAAATGAGCAGTGTTGTCAGGGGACCTGTTAGAAATGATATGGGCGCATCTCTTGCCTGGCCCTCTAACTCCTTGCCTCTCCATTGATGTTGTCTACCCCCAGCCTCAGCCTCCTGCTTCCATGGTCTTCCTCCCAGACCTTGTTGTTCAGCTCTGGAGCTCCCCACTCTGAGCCTGGCACTTGCTGACTGTCGCCCATCTCTTCAGCTCACTCACCCAGGGCTCACAGCAGTTTTCTGTCCTCCCTGAGAGCCCCCCTGCCTAAGGGCCCTGCCTGTTTTGTGCTCTCTCCCAGCCTGCCCATGCCCCTCTCCTTTTGTCACTCCTTGGACTCCTGAGTCTGTCCTTGTTGCTGTTTCCCAGGCTTCCGTGACTGTGGGGTGCTCCTCTCCCTCTCTGTTCCTGCCTGGCAAGATCCCAACCCTGGCTTGTCCCAGGAGCCTGGCTCCTCCTGCCTCCACCCTTGCAGTGAAACCATGCTGGAGGGAGCTGCTCCGCCTTGCTGGGGGTTCCTGGTGCCCCTCCACCTGAGGCTTTGCTGCCTCTGCTCCTCTGTGTGTCCTGCAGCTCCCGCCATCCCCGCAACTGGGGGCCCTTCTCTCCTCTGGGAGCTTCTGCCCGCTCCCCTGCTCCTGCTGTCACTCTTCCTAACCCTTGACTTTGCCTCACGCGTGAAAAACAGAGAGGCCCTGAGACTCAGTGAACGGCTTCTGTTTCCGTCACAGATGAGCCCTCTGCCTGGAACCGGGCCTGTCCCTTCTCACCTTTCGGGGGCTTCCTGTGGTCCCCTCTCTCTCCAGAGCCATCAGCTTCTCCCTCCTTGTTGATGCGTCTCCACCAGCACCCAGTATACTCCACCATTACCGGGTTAAGAAGCATCTTCCTTGGCCCCCACACCCTTTCCTTGTGGCTTCCCCCGTCTCAGCAGCCCCCTGCCCTCACTTCCTTAGGCTTTGGCTGCCATCACCTCATGCCCGGAACCCCATCCTGTGGAGGTCACTTAAGAGCTCCATGTGCCAAATCCAGGGTCTGTTTTGTGTCTTGGTTGACTTGACCTCCCAGCACTGTCGACTGCTCCTCCACGTTGGAGGCTCCTCCGTGCAGCTGCTGTGCCCTGGGGCTCAGGTTTTCCTGCCTCACCTGCTCCTGCTCTGATCCCTTGTTGACTCCTCTCCCCGATTTCTGAAGACTGGCAGGGTCCCGGCCCGGCCTCCCTGTGCGCTTCTTTCTCTGTGTTCCCCTGTGTGATGGTGGCCTGTGGCCTGTGGCTCTCATGACTTCCCATGTGCTGGGGCCCAGGCACCACACCCCGGCGCCTGCTTGGCTCCCACATGTGGGCGTCTCACGGGCACATCAGGTGTGGTATGCCCAAGAGAAGCCCTACACCTCCTCCAGGCTCAACCATGGCAGTAGATGGCACCACTGTCTGTTCATCGGTTGTTATTTCTGAGTTCTCTTCTTCCTCCCTCTTCCCACTCAGTCCATCAGCAAGTCCTGTGAAGCCTGTCTTCCAAGTAGAGGCCACACATGCCCACGTCTGTTTCTCCCCTTTGCCACTGTCCAAGCTGGAGGCAGTCACCCTGTGCGTCATCTCACAGCCAAACTGCTGCAGCCATGACTTACCTGGGCTTCCTCGTCCACTTCAATGCCTTGCAGTATCTTTTCTACAGAGCAGTCTGTAACGCTTTAAAAATGTACATCATCTTATTGCTCCTCTGCATAAGCCCCTTGGTATCTTTGCATTATACTTGTAATAAAACCTAAAACAGAATATCTGACATACCTGGTTTTTTAAGAAAATACTGTGGTTCTTGTTGAACTCCTTTAGGGATCTAGTGATTGGGTTCTTTTAACCCCAGTATGAGGTAGTAAGGCCTGTCACAGTCATCTGCCTGTTCTCCAGTCTCTGGGTTTGGGTTATGATATATGTGTTCCTTTTAGAGAGCTGTCTGGAACTCGAGAATCACGGCACCACAGACGTGAAATGGCATCTGTCATCTTTAGCTCCACCTTATGTCAAGGTCAGTCATGACTGCCTCAGATATAATCGTTTTAACGTTTAAACTTTTTCCAGGACGTTCTAAAAACTGACTAGGAGCATAGGTTGATATTGTTGGTTATTTGCTTGTTTGTTTTCTGAGACAGAAGTCTTGCTCTGTCGCCCAGGCTGGAGTGCAGTGGTGTGAACACTGCTCACTGTAGCCTCAACCTCCCAGGCTCAAGTGATCCTCCAGCCTCAGCTTCCCATGTGGCTGGGACCACAGGTGTGTACCACCACGTCCAGCAAACTTTTTGTTTTTTTGTAGAGATGGAGCCTCACTTCACTGCCCAGTCTGGTCTCGAACTCCTGACCTCAAGCGATCTTCCCACCTCAGCCTCCCAAAGTGTTGGGATTACAGGTGTGAGCTGCTGCACCTGGCCTTGCTGGTTATTTGTTCCACCAATTCATTTAGTTGGTTTTCTCTTTAGATGAGGATGATATATGCCCAGTCTTTTTCACAAGATGGTTTTGAGAGTCAAATTAGAGAATATGTGTGGAAATACATGTTTGCTCCATTTAATGCTGTCTCCTAGCCCTAATTTTGTCTGAAATAACTGTATTTTGAGAAATACGTAAAAACCGTATTTCTGAGCATTGTATGTACACATGCATGGCTTTCCCCTCATGTTCTGAGTGCTGTCGTATGTTCCCAGCCAGCGGTGCAGGAAAGGGAGCTGAGCACTCTTTGCCAGTGAGTGGCAGCCTACTGTCTGTGGCAGTAGTCTCCACCAGGGCACCGCCTGAATTCAGTGGGTTTGTCATTGGTGGTGTTTAGAACAGGGCTGTGGTCTCTGCCATATATTTTGTGTGATAGTAACAGTTTTGAGCCATAATACTAACCAAATGTGTACAAAAAACAGTTTCTGGACCTACTGTGAAAAAATTAAAAACTACTTGGGAGGCTGAGGTGGGAGGATCGCTTGAGTCCAGGCTGTCGAGGCTGCAGTGAGCCATGATTGCGCCACTGCACGCCAGCCTAGGCAGCAGAGCAGGTATTACCCTGTCTTAAAAAAATAAGTAAATACAAATTAAAAACTGGTATTGCATAAGTTATTAAAATGCACTTTCAACAGGGTCTTCAGAGTCTTTGAGCAAAAGATAGTTGTTTGACATTGTGAGCCTCACCATAAAGATCACTATAGCCAGGGAACTGATAAAAGTCGCCTTGTGTGACCTCTCCTTTGGTGATGTGAGTCAGCATGATGGCCTTCTGCAGAGCTTAGTCAGGTAGCACTCCCATTTTGGGAATACCTTGCGTTCTCCTTTTCCACTGCTAAGTGTGGTGGTGTGTTCTCAGCAGCCATAGAGGTAATAGTGTCTCTGTGGGATTGATCCGTTGGCTTTATGGTTTTTAATTTGTTTAAATGATTGCTTTGCAGGGAGTTGATGAAAGTGGAGACGTTTTTAGAGCCACCTATGCAGCATTCAGATGTTCTCCTATTTCTGGTCTACTGGAAAGCCATGGGATCCAAAAAGTAGGTTTCGATATTTTTTTCCATAGGCAGTTAGTAAGAACATCATGTAAATTGTCCAGGAGTGCCTCATTTGATTCCACCCATTTAGCTTGTTTCACCCAGAGCAGTGCTACTCACAGAGCCAGTGTGCACCCAAGAGAAGAGCCTGCCTCACTCACAATGCGCTGTAGCAGGCAGTCTTAGTGTGAAGAGCAGTCCGCTAAACAACGTGGCGCACTTAGCAGTAAAGACCACAGACTGCCAGTGCTTACAGTCGTACTACGCTGATGGAGATGAGAGTTTTGTCTATCAGCCGTAGCCAGAAAAACCTGCCATTACCCAAAAACAGTTCAGTGTTTGTGGCATAGTCAGCAGTGTATCTTCATGGGTGACAGATCCCTCCAGCTACTATGACCCTCTTAAATGTTAATTCATTTCTATACCTGACATATTCCCTTCAAATGTCTCCTAATAACACTAATCCCCCACCTGGCCTGAGCAATATACTTTTTCATTCTAATTGCTGAAGCTCACTGGCTCATTTATTAGACATTCAGACTGAAAGTAAGTTATAGAATGTAGCTGTGAACTCAGAAATGACCGTAAAAGAATCTTGAAGCAGCTGTAGCAGTTGTTGCAAACTACACACTTTACTGGGTCTGTATAACAGCCTTTCAGAGGATTTCTCACTTTTTTTGGAAAGACACACAGTTCTACACGTGTAGTTTAGTTCGTTTCCCAAACCACAACAGAAGCAAAGCAGAACAGGATAAACACACTGCTCAAATAGAGTTCAGTGTATGAGGCAGGATAAACACACTGCTCGCGTACGAGGCAGGATAAACACACCGCTCAAATAGAGTTCAGCGTACGAGGCGGGATAAACACACCGCTCGAATAGAGTTCAGCGTACGAGGCGGGATAAACACACCGCTCGAATAGAGTTCAGCGTACGAGGCGGGATAAACACACCGCTCGAATAGAGTTCAGCGTACGAGGCGGGATAAACACACCGCTCGAATAGAGTTCAGCGTACGAGGCGGGATAAACACACCGCTCGAATAGAGTTCAGCGTACGAGGCGGGATAAACACACCGCTCGAATAGAGTTCAGCGTACGAGGCGGGATAAGTTCAGCGTACGAGGCGGGATAAACACACCGCTCGAATAGAGTTCAGCGTACGAGGCGGGATAAACACACCGCTCGAATAGAGTTCAGCGTACGAGGCGGGATAAACACACCGCTCGAATAGAGTTCAGCGTACGAGGCGGGATAAACACACTGCTCGAATAGAGTTCAGCATATGAGGAGGTATCGCAAAAAGAAACCCAACAAGAAAGACATCCCGTGTCAGTCGATCAGAAGACTTAACCTTGTTAAGGCAGCAGCACTCCCTAAATTGGTCTACATGTTCAACACAGTCCCAGTCAAAACCCAAGCTGGGCCCAAAGCAGTCCACAGTTAATGCTGTTCCTATCAAACTACCAACGTCATTTTTCACAAAACTGGAAACAACTATGCTAAAATTCATGCAAAGCCAAAAAAACAACCTGAATAACAAAAGCAGTCCTAAGCAAGAAGAACAAATCTGGAGGCATCATGCTACCTGACTTAAAACTATACTATAAGGCTACAGTAACCGTAACAGCATGGTAGCAAAACAAAAACAGACATACAAAACAGTGGAACAGAGTAGAGAACCCAGAAATAAAGCCACATACCTACAACCATCTGATCTTCAACAACTCAGCAAAAATAAGCAGTGGGGAAAGGACTCCCTAGGCAATAAACAGTGCTGGAATAGCTGGCTCACCATATGGAGAGGAATGAAATTGGACCCCTGCCTTTCACCACATACAAAGATTAACTCAAGGTGGATTAAATATTTGAACATAAGACCTCAAACTGTAAGAATCCTAGAAGAAAACTTAGGAAACACCATTCTGGACTTTGTTCTTGGGAAAGAATTTTTGACTAAATTCTCAAAAGCAACTGTAATAAAAAAAAAATTGACAAACGGGACCTAATTAAAGAGCTTCTGCACAGCAAAAGAAACTATCAACAGAGTAAACAGACAACCTACAGAAGAGGAGAAAACATTCACAAACTGTACATCTGACAAAAGTCTAATACCCGGGATCTATAAGGAACTTAAAACAATTGAACAAGCCCAAAACAATTCACCCCATTAAAAATGAGCAGACGACATGAACAGACACTTCTCAGAAGAAGACATACAAGCTGCCAACAAACATGAAACAATGCTCCAATCACTTATCATCAAGAAATGCAAATCAAAACTACAATGAGATACCATCTCACAGCCGTCAGTATGGCCGTTATTAAAAAGTCAGCAGCCTGGGCAACATGGCGAAACTCTGTCTCTGCAAAAAATACAGAAATTAGCTGGGCATGGTGCCACGCACCTGTAGTCCTACCTGCTTGGGAGGCTGAGGTGGGAGGATTGCTTGAACCCAGGAGGCAGAGGTTGTAGTGAACCGAGATTGTACCACTGCACTCCAGCCTGTGTGACAGGGTGAGACCCTGTCTTCAAAAAAATAAAATAAAAAGTCAAAAAACAATAGATGCTAGCAAGTCTGCAGAGAAAAGGGAATGCTTATACGCTTAGTGTGAATGTAAATTAGTTCAGCCACCATGGAGACCAGTTTGGAGATTTCTCAAATAACTTAGAACTGCCATTCAACCCAGCAATCCCACTACTGGATATATACCCAAAAGAAAGCAAATTGTTCTACTAAAAAGATACATGCACTTGCACATTCATCACAGCACTATTCACAGTATCAGAGGCATGGATCAATCCACTGTTGATCACCCGTGGATTGGATAAAGAAATGGTGGATTGGTACATGTATATCATGGAATACTGTGCAGCCGTAGAATCAAATCACGTCCTTTGTAGCAACATGGATACAGCTGAAGGCGATTATCCTAAATGAATTAACACAGGAATAGAAAACCACATGCCACATTTTCTCACTTACAAGTTGGAGCTAAATATTGGGTACTCATAGACATAAAGATGACAGCAATAGAAACTGGGGACTACTGGAAGGGGGAAAAGGGCTGAAAAATTAACGATTGGGTACCTGGGTGATGGGATCATTCATTCCTCACACCCGAGCATCGTGCAGTATACCCAGGTAACAGACCTGCACATGTACTCCCTGAATCTAAAGTAAAAGTTGGAAAAGAAAAAAGGAACAACAATGGGCCCATAGTGGTAAAGATATAGGTGTCATGCATCTATTTTAAAAAGAAAAAAAATTGAAATTAATGAGCTAAGCAGTCAGTTGAAGAATGGTGAAAATAATAAATCCAAAGAAAGAAAAAAATGTTCTAAAGCAAAACATAGTGAAATTAAAAACAAAGAAATGAGAGAAGATTAACATCTCCAAAGCTGCTTTTTTGGAAAAAATAATAATAATAGACAAACCTTTGGCAAAATTGACCACAGCAGGAAAAAGACAATTTTACATAAAAAGCATTTGTCACACGAGAATCTAGCAGAATGAGATTAATCAAAAATTCAAAAAATTTTTTAAAGAATTAAAGGTAAATAAATGTGTTAGAAAAAGAATGACTTAAATATCAAAGATTTTTTAAATGCCTCTTTCACAAACCCCTCAAATATGTTTTCCAAAATGGTCTTTACGGGTTGTCCTGTGAATTTATACACCTTATACCATTGTATAACTTTGTCCCCTGCCCTGCAAAAAAATTGCACCACAATCTAAGCCCACTTTATTCTTTGTTCATTCTAAGATTTAATGCACAGTTGTAATTAATCTAAATTTAGTTAAATAAAACATAGAAAAACTAATTTAAAAATAAATTCATCTGACTTTTGTTTTAAAATTGAAAGACTGATTCTGAAATCTATATAGATATACAAGAGACCTAGAATAATCGGACAATCTTGAAATAGAACAAAGTTGGAGGATTTTACACTCCGTGTTTTCAAAACTTACTACAAAGCCACATTATACAAAACAGTGTGGTTTTGACGGTACCATAGAACTATGGAATAGGATTGAGAGTCCCAAAATAAACCCTAATATTTATAGTTAATTGGTTTTTTTGTTTGTTTGTTTGTTTGTTTTTAAATAAGGGCACCAAGACAGTTCAATGGGGAAAGAATATTTTTCAACAAATAGTGCCTGGGAGAACTGGATAGCCACATGCAAAAGAATTCGAGTAAATTGGCCGGGCGCGGTGGCTCATGCCTGTAATCCCTGCACTTTGGGAGGCCGAGGCGGGTGGATCACGAGGTCAGGAGATTGAGACCATCCTGGATAACCCAGTGAAACCCCGTCTCTACTAAAAATACAAATAATTAGCCAGGCGTAGTGGTGGGCACCTGTAGTCCCAGCTACTCGGGAGGCTGAGGCAGGAGAATGGAATGAACCCAGGAGGTGGAGGTTGCAGTGAGCCGAGATGGCGCCACCGCACTCCAGCCTGGGTGACAGAGCGAGACTCTGTCTCAAAAAAAAGAATTAGGGTAGACTCTTACTGTATTAGGGTTCTCCAGAGGGACAGAACTAATAGGATATATGTATATACGAAAGGGAGGTTATTGGCCGGGCGTGGTGGCTCACGCCTGTAATCCCTGCACTTTGGGAGGCCAAGGCGGGCGGATCACGAGGTCAGGAGATCGAGACCATCCTGGCTAACACGGTGAAACTCCGTCTCTACTAAAAATACAACAATTAGCCAGTTGTGGTGGCGGCACCTGTGGTCCCAGCAACTCGGGAGGCTGAGGCAGGAGAATGGCGGGAACCCGGGAGGCGGAGCTTGCAGTGAGCCGAGACCGCGCCACTCACTCCAGCCTGGACGACAGAGCTAGACTGTGTCTCAAAAAAAGAAAAAGAAAAGGAGGTTATTAGGGAGAATTGACTCACACAATCACAAGGCGAAGTCACACGATAGGCCGTCTGCAAGCTGGGGAAGAGAGAAGCCCAGTAGCAGCTCAGTCTGAGTCTAAAAGCCTCAAGAGAGGGAAGCCAACAGTGCAGCCTTCAGTCTGTGGCCAAACTGTCAGAGGGCCCCTGGCCAAACACCAAGCACAATGGCTGAAGAACTTGGAGTCTGATTTCCAAGGGCAGGAGGAACAGAAGGAAGCATCCAGCACAGGAGAAAAACGAAAGCCAGGAGACTCAGCAAGCAAGGTTATCTCACGTTCTTCCACCCGCCTCCTCCTAGCCTGCTGGCAGCTGATGTGCTCACCCACATTAGGGTGGGCGTTCCTCTCTCAATTCGCAGATTCAAGTGTCAGTCTCCTCTGGCAGTGCCCTCACAGACACACCCAGAAACAATACTTTAGCAGCCATCTAGGCCTCCTTCAATCTAATTGAGTCGACACCTAGTATTTGTGGGGTTTTGTTGTTGTTGTTGTTTTGAGTTGGAGTCTGGCTCTGTTGCCCAGGCTGGAGTGCAGTGGTTCAATCTTGGCTCAACCTCTGCCTCCCGGGTTCAAGTGATTCTCCTGCCTCAGCCTCCAAGTAGCTGGGACTACAGGCGCCCACCACCACGCTCGGCTAATTTTTTGTATTTTTAGTAGAGACGGGGTTTCACCATGTTAGCCAGGATGGTCTCGATCTCCTGACCACGTGATCCGCCTGCCTTGGCCTCCCAAAGTGCTGGGATTACAGACATGAGCCGCCGCGCCCGGCCTGAGTTGACACCTAATATTAACCATCACACTTACCTAGTACCATGTACAGAGATTCACTGAAAATCAACCATAGACCATAAACATTAGACCTAAAGCTATAAAACCTCTAAAAGACAACATAGGAATAAATCTTCATGACCTTAGGTTAAGCACTGGTTTCTTAGATTTGACACCAGTAAAGCACAAGCCACAAAAGAGAAAATAGGTGAATTATCAAAACCAAAAACATTTGTGCTTCAAACAAAACCATCAAGAGAATGAAAGACACAGAATAGGGACAAAAATTTGCAAATGATATTTTTGACAAAGGACTTGTATCCAGAATACGTGAAGAACTCTTACAACCCAGTAAAAAGACAAATGGCCCAATTTTTTAAATGAGCAGAGGATTTGAATAGACATTTTCCCAAAGAAAACATACAAGTGATCAATAAACATGTGAGAAGATGCTTAGAATTCCTAGTCATTAGCAAAATGCAATCAAAACAAGAAATAAAGTATCACTTAACACCTACTAAGATGGCTGTGAGTTTTAGAAAAACAGAAAATAACAAGTGTTGGTGAGGATGTGGGGAAATTGGAGCCCTCATGCATTGCTGGAGGGAATGTGAAATGGTACAGCCGCTGTGGAAAATAATTGGGCAGTTTCTCAGTAAGCCAAACGTAGAATTACTGTATGACCCAGCAGTTCCACCTCTGGATATACACTAGAAAAGTTGAAGCAGATTTTCAAACAAAAACGTGTTCACAGCAGTGTTATTCATAGTAGACAAAAAAGTGGGAACCACCCAAATGTCTGATGGATTGATAAACAAAATCTGGTATATCTGTAAAATGAAACATTATTTGGCAGTGAAAAGGAATGGAGTTACTGGTACATGCTATATCCAGATGGATGAACCTTGAAAACATTGTGCTAAGTGAGAGAAGCCAGTCACAGAAGCCTACAGATGTGTGATTCTGTTTATGTGAAATGTCTAGGATATGCAGATCCACAGAGAGAAAGTGGAGTGTGCTTGCTAGGGGATTAGCTGAGATACTGAGTGTTAAGAGTTCCCAGTATGTGCCTAGGGTGTAACATGCAGTAATACTGGTTTTCCCCTCCTCTGTTCTCTTGTGTTTTTGGTATTTGAAGGGGTATAGTTAGGATTTCGTAGTCCCATAGTGCCCAGTGGTGGTTTTTACCCTTTCCTTTGGTTTTACCCTTTCCTTCCTTCATCTTCTCAGAGTCCAAGTCCATAGTGGTGTAATTCTCTAGTCAGATGCTCTCCTCTCCCTGACCAGTCCTACTTTTGCCTCCAGGCTCTCAAAAGCCTTGAGCTCAGGCTGACTGGGTTATTACGTTTAAGGTTCTGCGTGGGCAGAAATTAGGCCACTTACGTGTTTTAATGTTTAAGTCCAGACTCAGAAATACTGATTCATTGTTAACCTGATTCATTGTTAACTGATTGATTGTTAAGTGATCAGTATTATCAACACTAAATTATTTGATAAAGCTAAGGCTCTTAATATTGGTAACTGTTATAAAATGCTGTTTTTAAACATTACAGTTGTCCCATGATTGAGCTTTTTACAGATTGTACACATGCAGGGTGTGTTTATCACTGAGCTATGTGCCCAGGGTCACCGGCTGTGACTGACATTTGGAAGCTAATCATCATGCGAGCTGCCACTGTGGAGTGTCTGATGCTTGTCTTGTTCTGCCTCCTGTAGCCGCCGCCCCCCTCCCTGTTGTCCATCTTCCACAGCTCCTGGCCGCTGTGAGGCCTTTGTCCTGGTACTGCTTGGCCAGCAGAGGGTTCCATAAGCATTCGAGGGAAGACAATTGCGAGTCTGTGGTTGGACCTTCCTCGTGTAGGTGTTGTACTTGACAGCTTTAGTGCTTTCTGATAACATGTCCCCCCCACAGTAAAGCATTTATTGTACATTTTAAGGAATATGTCATATAAAGCCTTAAGCAAAAAGTGTTTTGGATCTGGTATAGTAACCTGTTAGAAATGAAATTGTCCAAATTCTTTCAATTAGTGGGAAAACTAGCCAGTGCAAAAGCATTTGTTCGTTTAATTTTTTTCATACCAAGTCTTCGAACTGGTAATCTAGCTGCCACTGTGTTGAATGATCAGTGTCTCAGTTTCTCTTCTGTGTGTATTTTGTAGGTCTCCATCACATTTTTGCCCAGAGGTAGAGGGGATTATGCCCAGTTTTGGGATGTTGAATGTCACCCTCTTAAGGAGCCTCACATGAAACACACTTTGAGATTCCAACTCTCTGGACAGGTGAGTAGTAAATGAATTTAAGTAAATCATTGTGTGTATTTTAAAAACAGAAAGGAAATTAACAAGAAAAATTGGCCTGAAAATGCAGAATATAGTCCCATAATCCTAATTTTCTTGTTTGTCTGTATTAATTGGCATGTTTGATGTCTGGGTTTGGCTATATTGTTCATACAGCCCATGAAACCCATGTTTGACTTAATCATGTAAGAAACTGTGTGCGTGTGCATCATGCATGCATGTGGGCACATGAGAGAGAGAGGAACCAGGCAGTACAGAGTACAGAGCTTGCAATTTAGGGGATTTAAAAATCTTAAATCTCCTTTTAAAAATTTTTAAAGGAAATGGTAGAGTTCAAATAAGTAAATGTCCATATAGTTTCTTAGTTTTCATTTCTTCTTCCTTATCCTGTGATTTTTCTGTACAGAGCATCGAAGCGGAAAATGAGCCTGAAAACGCACCCCTTTCCACAGATTCCCTCGTTAAAATCGATCATTTAGTGAAGCCCCGAAGACAAGCTGTGTCGGAGGCTTCTGCTCGCATACCTGAGTATGTTGGTTCTGTCATTCTTATGAGTTTTTTACCAGTACTTTATTGAGGAATAGAGTCAGTAAAATGCTTGATGACTTTACCTGAGTTCACATGCGTTACCAGCACTCCAACCACAATACAGAATATTCCTCTCGCCCAAAAATTTCTTACCTGTCCCTTTGCAGTCAAGATCTGTCCTGTTCTGATTTCTGTCATCATAGATTCGTTTTGCTTGAACTTCACATATATACGTATGTATGTATATATTCTTTGTGTCTGGCTTCTTTTTCTCCACATACTATTTTTAAGAATTCATTCATGTTATTGAATGTACCTATAGTTCATTTCTTTTTATTGTTTGGTATTCCATTAAATGAACATGTCACAATTTATTCATTTTCCTGTTGACTTTTGGATGTCTTATAATTTGGAACTCTTATGAATTAAGGTGCTTTGAACATTACTTTATGTGCATTTCTGAAGATGACAAACATTTTCATTTCTTTTGAGTAAAAATACCTAATTTTACCCAAAATTGCCGGGTCACATGATAACCATGTGTTAAACTTTAAAATAAACTGCCAAATAGTTTTCCCTAAATAGTTGTACCATTTTATGTTCCCATAAACAGCATATGAAAGTAGATTCTTAAAAAGCTTTAAAATGTAAAACTTATACCAGCCGCATATATAGCTTTAATGAGAATATTATTTAGTATTATACCTAGTGAAAATATTTCTTATAATCCTTAATTAGTAATTAGGTCTAATTAAGTTCTGGAGGAAGATGCCTGGAAAGACAATATATGTAAAATATCTGCTGAATTTAATATAAATTTAGTCATTTATTTTTTGGGAGCCAATAATGCATTTGGAAGAAATTAGAGCCCTTTAAAGAATGCGTGTTCTTGGCACACTCCCTCTGGCTGTTACGCCTCACTTCTTTCTCCCCCTCTGAGCCCCGTCCTCCACGTCTCCCTTCTGGAGACACAGCCTCGCCAACCCACAGCTCACACTGGCTGGGGGGAAACAAACAAGAAACGGGGAGAAGTTACAGAGGCAGCTTGGTCTGTGAAACCTGGGAAGGACTTGCCTGAAAGGGGACATTTAAGTTGAGGAGGATGAGTGGAAATGGCCTAGGTGAGGAGGGTGGGAGAAGTTCCCAGGAGCCGTTCGGTGTGAGAGGGGAGTGGGGGGGCAAGGCCAGAGCTGGGCCTAGGAGGTGGCTGCTCTTCTGGAGAGCTGGGAAGCCGGGAGTGACATGATCGGGTGTGCGTGTATAGGACAGTCCCCTGGCTGTGGTGTGACTGATAGGATGGAGGTGAGGAGGGGCTATTTTAAAGGAGTCCAGGAGTAAAATAGTGTCAAGGAATAGGAAGAGAACAGGCAGACTGGAGATAAGAGGGGCTCTGCGATGGACTGGATGAAGGGTGATGGCTGTGAGAAGGTCGGCTTCCGGATACCATTCAGCAAACACAAGTGGAGGATCAGGTTTGAGGACAAAAATCACAAGTTCATTTTTGTATTTGTGGAGACTGAAGGTGTTTGAGCTATCCTGAGGGACCATTGTGTATTGACTGAATAGATAGGGCTGCTGGGGGGTGCCCCTGTGAGGGGAAGGTCAGATGCACAGAGAGTTGGGGGTGGAGGGGAGCCTGCAGAGACCCGGGAGTGGCTGGAGAAAGGGGAGGCAGATGTGCAGGGTTCAGGAAGCCCAGGCAAGAGCCAGTGCCACCGCCAGCAAACATTGCCTGGAGGCCATACCTGCATCAGGCGCTTGGAGCAGCCTGTGTCCCAGTGATAGTGAAGTACAGTTGGTACTGCAGCGTGAGGGGCCAGGTGAAGTGAACTGAGGTAAAGGGCCACCTTCATACAAACTGGGCTTCTGGCCGGTAGAGACCCAGGCTGTGAGGAGAGGGAGGCCTACCCTGCACACTTCGTGAGAGGATTCCTGCTGTCATCTTCTTCACGTAAATTAGATAAGTTGTCATTACAAAACCTATATTTGAAAATAAATCGCCAGGAAAAACACAAATTAATGGCAATACTACATAATTTTAATATATAAAAATAGTTTTAAGTTACTGTAGATTTCAAATTCTTAACTTTTACGTCTATTCCCAAAGCAGGCAGCTTGATGTGACTGCTCGCGGAGTTTATGCCCCAGAAGATGTGTACAGGTTCCTGCCGACTAGTGTAGGGGAATCACGGACACTCAAAGTCAATCTGCGAAATAATTCTTTTATTACACACTCGGTAAGTTGGAAATATTACTATGGGTTTTGGAAAAATAAATGCATTCAACTCAGATAACAAACATTTTCCTGATGATTCTATAGACTATATTTAAGTTGTAGTAATGAGGTAATTTTTAAAAATGCAATATAAGGCCAGGTACAGTGACTGACACCTGTAATTCAGGACTTTGGGAGGCCAAGGCAGGGGGATTGTTTGAGCCCGGGAGTTTGAGACCAACCTGGGCAATATAGTAAGACTCCATCTCTACCAAAAAAAAAAAAAATTAACAAGGCATGGTGGCACGTACCTGTAGTCCCAGCTACTTGGGTGGGGGCTGAGATGAGAGGATCGCTTTAGCCTGGGAGGGTGAGGCTGCAGTGAGCCATGATTGTGCCACTGCACTTCAGCCAGGGTGACAGAGCAAGACCCTGCTCCCATCCCCCCCAGAATTCCTTAATGTTGTATTTGAAAATAAACCCACTGGAAGTTTATCACCCTTTACTTGAAAATCAAAAATTTGTTTTTATATTTTAATTTTTAACTTTTTCTTTTTCTTCTGTACTATTATACACACATATTTCTGGACAGCCTTTACTTTAGTTAAAACTAGATTAAATTCATGTTAAAATTTTCTTAAATATGTTTTCATTGCATTAGCATTTGTTGTCCTACCTAATTTTGTGGCAATACCTAAATTTACGAAATGTATCTGTAATACATAAATGCATGGTATGCTTATATATGCTAAAAGATCTAATTTTCCTAACTTTAAAAAGTGTTTTCTATTAAATTCCAGCTGAAGTTTTTGAGTCCCAGAGAGCCATTCTATGTCAAACATTCCAAGTACTCTCTGAGGTAAGTATATCGCAGATCACAGGGTTCTCATCAGCGATGCAGGACTTTTGTTTCTTGGGAGTTGGGGCTTGTGAGGTCTCCTCTGCTGCAGGTCCTCCAGATTCCTCACCAGCAACGAACAGCGTTAATCAAATGAATGTTCGCAAGTAGAAGCAGGGAAAAGGAGCCTGCAGGGGACAGCTCCGACTGTCCGTGGTGCACTTAGCAGTGCCGCAGGGCGCAGCATTTGGGCTGGTGTGACTTCTCCCACCCAGGATTTGCAGCCACATAAATTTTAGAGCTGTAATCATCTTAAGATTGACTTTTAGAGTAATTCCTGTTTCAAATGTTATTTCACTGGTACGCTGAGAGTCAAGGACTTAGATTTTCATTAATTGGGACAAAAACCTTTCCAGGTTAATTGGGAAAACTTTTATTGTGTTTTTCAGTTGCCATTCTTCAGACCCCGCTTACTATTCTTAATCAGGGCCTCATTTTCTTATCATCCTTGCTAATTTTCTTTTCTATATGATGCACGTTTAGGTTGAACTCTCGAACTGGGTTGTCATTGTTATTTAGAACTTAATAGTAGGGTTCTGTTGGACTTAATGCTGAATAATAATTTTAATTTCATCTTTGAATCTTTTAAGTCATTTAATTATTGTAAAGTCTCTCATGTTAGCATTAGGAGACTATTCCAGAAACATGTTCTATTCTATGAAAATTTGGACCACTCTGCAATCATTCTAGGCCTGCCATTTATTCACTTACTAAGACCAGTGGTGCTCTACAATTGAAGCTCACTCACAGCCCTGGATACTGGAAAGGTGGCTTGATTGAAGACTGTTCCTTCTACCTTACTCTTTCTTTTTATTCTTATGTCTCTCACACCACCTCTTCCTTCTATGGACTATAAAATATTTTAATATGCTTGAGGGCTAAACCCTTCCTTTCGCTCCCAGGAGACTGAAGGCACGAACTATAGATTTTAGTTCTGAAAATTCAACAATGAATACATCTAAAAATTATAAACTTGATAAACTCTTTGGCCTCAATTTCCTTATTTGTAAAATGGGGATGCCAATGCTAGCTACTGACAGCATAGAATTGTGAGGAATATAAGAGATGTGGTAATAATGCCCAGACATAGCAAGTGTCAGTGTCAATATCTTCATCATCATCATCATCATCATCAAATCTCCCCTGTAGGTGACCTTGGCTGGCAGGATGCATCAACGCTCACTCTACAGATTTTGATAGAACCTCATTTTATTATCAGTGTGTCTTCATTTAATCCCTGTGACAACTACATAGAAGAGAAAGGCCCAAGTTTAAAAATCAGCCAAATTCAAGTTTTCCAACTTCTGTTCTCCAAGTTCTCCTCTCATAGTAGTCTGTGGATCTCTCCAGTTATTGTAGGCTGCCCCAATTGATTTGAGACTAGTGAGTGATGCTCTAGTGTGTGTAATAATAGGTTGGAACTACTAACATACATGGTAGCACGACTGCAGAGGCAATTAGTTTATTCAGAAAAAGATCATTTAAATTTCTAATTGTTGTAACTATTTTTAGTAACTGAGTACAAATAGATACTGAATAAATTATCCTGAACACTGTTATTATCTAAACTCAAATTTTATCATAACTGCATTATTCATTCTGCTTCCTCAGATTGGGTCACATCCCACATCTTCACCAGCAAAATGTTTTGCAGGGTATATTTTTGAACATGCAGTGGATCAATGGAATACTTCTGTAAAAACTGGCATACATCTGTCACAAATTGGAAGGACTTTAGATTTTTATTTCAAGGAGCTCTTCTTACCTTAAAAAATATTTTTTTAGGCCGGGTGCGGTTGCTCACAACTGTAATCCCAGCACTTTGGGAGGCCGAGGCAGGCGGGTCACGTGAGGTCAGGAGTTTGGACCAGCCTGGCCAACATAATGAAACCCCATCTCCACTAAAACTACAAAAATTAGCCACACATGGTGGCAGGCGCCTATAATCCCAGCTACTTGGGAGGCTGAGGCGGGAGAATAGCTTGAACCTGGGAGGCGGTTGTTGTAGTGAGCTGAGATCACGCCACTGTACTCCAGCCTGGGCAACAAGAGTGAAACTCTGTCTCAAATTTAAATAAATAAATAAATAAAATATTTTTCAAAGCTTCTAAACAAAGTTTCATTTAAAAAATTATCTTGAATAGTACCAACTTTAAAAAAAGAATATTTACATACACCCCATCCTCATCTGTAGTTTTGATAAAGCATCATTATTTAAAATAACTTGTTAAATTGCAGCTTTATGTCACTGTTCTCCATTTTATGGCTAGGTATGAGGCAGTCAAAACTTCCCTGCAGTTAAACATTCATTTTCCAACTTCCATTATTGAATACGTCGTCATTTCAGATTCTTTTTTGATGTTATATTCTTTGCTTAATTTGCCTTCACAGATTTTTTTTAAAGAATTGCTTTTCTGCCAAAATTTGTGGGCCAATTCAGATTTGACTCTTTGCAGAGAAAGAACCTAAACCTATTTCATCACAATAGTGCTACAGATGGCGGAGTCTATTTCTGACATGGAGTGTAGGGACAAGACCAGCCGAGCGGGAATCAGACAAGGGGATTTTTGAAAGATGCCTAGAACATTTTTAATGAGAAGCTCGTCTCAATGAGATGACATTTTGCTTAGCTTCAACTTGTTTTCTATAAACCACTTTTGAGAGATGAAATGTGTTTCTTGCTGGTCATGTAAAAGTAGACATTTTTGTGGACATGAACTTGTAGACTTGCCGTCCCAGTGCTTGAAATTAAGAGTCACAAATTACAGCACTGCCTTCCTGTGCAGCCTGTGTCATGTTAATGGCATCAGAAGGAACTTAGAAACATGAGAAACTATTTTTAAATTAAGCAAAATTTGGACAGTTCAATTAAGTTAGCATTTAAAATAGTATCGCAAGGTGCATAGTTTGTACTCTGAACATATTTAAATCTTTTTAAACTTTGATGCTTTGAAGATAAATTTGAATGAAATAATTTTATACTTTATTAGTGGCAGACACTTACGTTATTCCGATTATGGTGAGTTTCCAGAAAATCTTCATCGATACTATCACTGTGGGGCTATAGGGTAAATGCATAATAGTATCGATTTCAGCAATAGCTTTAATAGCAGCAGCTCATTGTAAATTTGGTAAAGTATGAGTAAGAAAATCGTGTGTATGAAGTACTAATTCTGTGATCTGTTTAACCAAATGAACTAAACTCTGGGTTACAGGAAACTTTTTAAGTAAATTTTAGGCAAAGAAAGGTGGAAACACCGGCTCCTTTATAACAGAGAATGGCCTGTGTTGACCTTGGAGAAGCAGCAGGACAGTAGAGGCAGATGCCACCGGAACCCCAGTGACAGTTCTTACCACAGAACTGAAGTCATAGGCACTTACGGCATTGTGTGCTGTTGTATTTGTCCCAAACACGAGACACTGTGACTTTAGACAAAGGCTTACAAAACATAATTGCCAGATGAGAGCAACAGTTAGCTTGCCTTGGCAGTGGAACAAAATCTGTGTTCTTAAAGCCCTGAGAAGCAATTCCCAGCCTTTCGTTAATCACAGTTTTCATTTGTTAGATCACCCTGTGCTCTATGACACCATTAACTACACATTTCCAAAGTAATAATAGGAATATAGTCATCTGTAGGGTACAGGAGATACTTACTTACAAAGAAGCACTTTTTCCAAGGCCCCGGGAGCCGTGGGGCTGCTCTCTGTAAGCCCCGGCACTAGCCCGGGAAAGTGGCTGTTCCTCGTAGGCTGTCAACTGGTTCCAGCTGAAGGAGGCAGAAGAGTTCCCCCAAGAAGGCACAGGGGTTTTGCCCAGTGCGGAGGTCAGTAAGCACGAATGTATGATAGATTGTAAGTAAGGTAATAGGGAAAAGGAAACATTGCTAACAGGTTTTTTTTGTAAGGGTTCTTTTTTGAGGGTTCTAAGTGATCTCTTTCTTATCTTTTTAAAAAGAATTTGTTTATGTTTCTACTTAGTCCCAAAAAGCATCTTTCTCTTAACCTGTTGTTTCATGCACATCTAATCCCAGCTGAGGTGTGGTAGCTAATAGGTTTCGCCTCAACTGTGCCCTCATGTCCTTGCACAGTGCAGGGTGCACGATCCTGGCAGACCTTGCCTGTCGTTCGAGAGAGAAGGACAGTTCCTAGAAAAGTGACAAGCCAAGGAACAGAGTTATCATTGAGCTGCAGTGACTTCTCACCCACGTGTGGGAACAAATTTTATTACCTTTTTCAGATGGTGTTACCTTGCATGTGCTAATGTACTGGCTTTTTTTTTCTGTAGAAAGTGTTCCTTTAAAAAAATGTTTCGGGCCGGGCATGGTGGCTCACGCGTGTGATCCCAACATTTTGGGGGAGGCCAAGACGGGCGGCTCATCTGAGGTCAGGAGTTCAAGATCAGCTTGGCCAACATGTGAAACCCTACCTCTACTAAAAATACAAAAAGTAGGCCAGATGCGGTGGCTCACACCTGTAATCCCAGCACTTTGGGAGGTCGAGGAGGGCAGATCATGAGGTCAAGAGATGAAGACCATTCTGGCCAACATGGTGAAACCCTGTCTCTACTAAAAATACAAAAATTAGCTGGGCATGGTGGCGGGCGCCTGTAGTCCCAGCTACTCAGGAAGCTGAGGCAGAAGAATTGCTTGAACCCAGGAGGCAGAGGTTGCAGTGAGCCGAGATCGTGCCACTGCATTCCAGCCTGGCAACAGAGCGAGACTCCGTCTCAAAAAAAAAAAAAAAAGTAACCAGACCTGGTGACGTATGCCTGTAGTCCCAGCTACTCAAGAGGTTGAGTCAGGAGATTGGCTTGAACCAGGGAAACAGGTTGCAGTGAGCTGAGATTGCGCCACTGCACTCCAGCTTGGGCGACAGAGCGAGAATCCATCTGAAAAAAAAAATGTTTTGAAAGAAAAGAAAGAAGTGTAGTTGCTAGAATTTGTAGGTTCCACTAAGCCCTTTCCACGTAGATGGGGCCTTCAGGGAGCTGGAGCTGGGTGTACACAGCCTGATGGCCTCTCTGCTCCCTAGATGTGTTTCTGCTCTGCGTGCCTTTGCAGGTAAATCCATCATAGCTAGAGAGAGGATCTGAACTAGACCTCCCCACTGGGTTCAGAGGACTTTCCCACTACCTTTTCCCGTGTGTGTGTGTGTGTGTGTTTGTGTGTGTGTGTAGATTAAATTAGTTCTAATGGCGGGCGGTGGCTCAGCCTGTATCCAGCACTTGGGAGGCGAGAAGGCGGATCACGAGGTCAGGAGATCGGACCATCCTGGCTACACGGTGAACCCCGTCTCTACTAAAAATACAAAAACTAGCCGGGCGAGGTGGCGGGCGCCTGTAGTCCCAGCTACTTGGAGCTGAGGAGAATGCGTGAACCGGAGGTGGAGCTTGCAGTGAGCTGAGATCCGGCCACTGCACTCCAGCCCGGGCGACAGAGCGAGACTCCGTCTCAAAAAAAATAAATAAATAAATAAATAAATTAGTTCTTAATAATAGTACTACAAAGTACTTTTTAAAGTATATCCATCTTGCTGGGAGTGTTCTATAGCTGTATTAAATGTTGTAGTTCTTTCTAAATTGCATTCCAGTTTATTCCGTGTATCTGTAAATCTAAAGCAGATGATATATTTTAATCACAGTAGACTGAAATTTTCAGTTTAATATAGAACAGTTCTATATTCTGTGATGAAATTTGTTAATAATGAGTTCTTCCAGAGATTTGTTTTGGGATATTTTATTATTTTTAGTAATTCATACGTTATAATGCCTCTTAAATAGGCAAATGGTACTATATATATCCAAGTATTGACCGCCAACATGAAACAGAAAATTGTAGCTAATGCCATGGGCCAGATTAGATTTTTTTTAAAAAGTACGTTATCTTTGACATGGTAAAACAAGTGTAATGCATTTGGGAAAAATAACCCAGCCTTTAAATAAAAATATAGAAAGATATACATACACACCTTTGCGCTATATAGATATATTTAAGAACATCCATTATCTGTATTATCAGTTATATCCAGGAAAAGGCTTTGAAATACTGAAGCTGTTTTCTAAACCTCGTGCCCGGTGTACTCTTGTGCACCCAAGAGCCGACACTGCTGGGTTTTTCAGGACAGATGCTGGAAACCGAAACGTACATCACTTCTGGTTGCCAGGCTGTAAAACACACAGCTCTGAGACCAGACTAAGGGGTGAAGTTCCTTCCCCGAGCTCAGAATGTCCACTTAAAAACGGCTAAGCCTTGAGGCTGATGACATCACATGGGCTGTGTGTCATACGTGTGTAGCCTCATTCACACTGTGAATAACTTGTTAAATTGCATGTTTTGAGGTGTATTTTGAAGCTCTTAGGACATAGTTTTAGGGACAAAAACAAACCCCCCAGAATACTATTTTTAACCATAGGGCACTCGTTACCTGCCTCTATATACTGTAATCTGAAAGTAAAGTTTCTAGAATATTTTTGATGAAAGTTTCGAGCCGGGCGTGGTGGCTCACGCCTGTAATCCTAGCACTTTGGGAGACCAAGGCGGGCGGATCACTTTAGGCCGGGAGTTTGAAATCAGCCTGGCCGACATGGTGAAACCCCGCCTCTACTAAAAACACAAACGTTAGCTGGGTGCGGTGGCGGGCGCCTGTAATCCCAGCTACTCAGGAGGCTGAGGCAGGAGAATTGCTTGAACCCGGGAGGCCGAAGTGGGGTGCCATTGCACCCCAGCCTGGGCGTCAGGAGTGAAACTACGTCTCAAAAAAAAAAAAAAGTTTCATATGAATTTTAGAGCAAAACCTGCAATGCCCATTAATGATAGGGTTGGGACAAGTTGTTTTAATCTTTCCAGTACAATATGCTATCTGGACTGAGTAAAACGGGCAATTAGGGTGTTCCCGAACCCTTTCTTAGGTAGATAGCTTTTGCAGGCAGAATATAAAACTGTATATATGATAGTTTAGACATCTTATTTTCCTTTTTGTATATTAATAGTTGCTGGATAGCCAGGAATATATATGTATGTAATACTGTTTTAATCCAATTTTAGATTTTTCTCTCCTTTGTGTCATTTTCTCTTTAAATAATAGCATCAAAGAAATTATAAATACATTTAAGCTGAATGTGGCTTGACCGAGCTCTTTCGTCAACACCTGAGCCAGGCGCTGTGCTGCCTGGGACAGGGTTGCAGGTACTGTCACGACATGCCGCTGTCATGTGCCTCTCTCATTCCAGAGCCCAGCATTACATCAACATGCCCGTGCAGTTCAAACCGAAGTCCGCAGGCAAATTTGAAGCTTTGCTTGTCATTCAAACAGATGAAGGCAAGAGTATTGCTATTCGACTAATGGGTGAAGCTCTTGGAAAAAATTAACTAGAATACATTTTTGTGTAAAGTAAATTACATAAGTTGTATTTTGTTAACTTTATCTTTCTACACTACAATTATGCTTTTGTATATATATTTTGTATGATAAATTGGATATCTATAATTGTAGATTTTTTTTACAAGCTAATACTGAAGACTTGACTGAAATATCATGTATCTAGCCTACAGTATTGTACTTAACTGTTACAGGTGAGAAGACAGTTCTCTGTTTGCACTGATTATGATATTCTGAATAAATATGGAATATATTTTAATGTATATCCAGAAGTTTTTCAGTAAGCTTGTCTTTTTCTATAATGTCATACAGAAATTAAATATCACTTTATTCTGTTAATTATTTTCAAGCTTCTGTGTCTGTTCTGTGATTTTTATCCTCCATCGCACAGTTTCCTTTCTCCTAAGAAATTCCTTCTCTGTTCCACTTTTAGCCAGTTGCCCAAAGTAGAAAGGACAACTTGCTTTTCAAGCAGCTGGTTATTTTACCGAGAGGGGAAGCCTCCCTAGTCTGTGCAAACACAGTGAAGAGGTTCCCACGTTGGTATCTTGAGTCTTTACATCTCCTCTGACCTCACATACTGTATGTAAAGCTAGACAGGACAACTGCTGCAGAAGCTGGCACAGATGGGCTAGGTTCCAGTGGGACGCAGGGAGGGAAACAGCAGGCCCCGAGAGCTGTCGATGGTAGGCTTGAGGTCGAGGCGGTGACACGGTTTTTTGTTTTTTGTTTTTGAGACGGAGTCACGCTTTGTCCCCCAGGCTGGAGTGCAGTGACGCGATCTCAGCTCACTGCAAGCTCCGCCTTCCGGGTTCGCACTATTCTCCTGCCTCAGCCTCCGGAGTAACTGAGACTACAGGTGCCCGCCACCATGCCCGGCTAGTTTCTTGTATTTTTAGTAGAGACAGGGTTTCACCACGTTAGCCAGGATGGTGTCGATCTCCTGACCTCGTGAATCCGCCCGTCCCGGCCTCCCAAAGTGCTGGGATTCCAGGCGTGAGCCGCCGCGCCCGGCCAGTGACACGGTTTTACCCAGGAGGGACGTAGTTAATTGCTCTTCTCACCGTTATTTGAGAGTCTCCTGATGAGGCTTTCTGAGCCCCAGCTCATTGCCTTTGTCTTTGAAGCAACAAAATCCCAGATTTGTGTAGTTGCTTGGGGATGATCACAGTTGGATATTATGTGGAGCAGAAAGACCTCGGGGCTTGTGGAAAGCTGGCCGGAAGACTTAAACCAATTACAGTTTAAGAGCAATGACTGTGAGCTCGAGAGAAAAACAGATCCCTTTTTCCTTTTTCCACTTCACTTTACTTTTGCTGAGTAATTTTTGCTTAGAAATCAAATTTGTAAAAACATTTTTTTCACAAGTTAAAACAGGTGGTACTTTTACTGATACTGCTTGACTTCTAGATTTTGTGCATCAAATATGGGATGACCTCATGCTTGAATTTGTGCTTATTGGACAACATTCAGCCTTAAAAGTTTTAAAACCATGCTATTGCTTTTTAAGACTGTTTGCCATGGTCTTTTAAGTGTTTGCCAAGGTCAGTTCATAGCAGTCATAATAGTTTCAATTCTGTGCAGCTGTTACTTTGCCTTTCAATTTATACTCAGAAGGTCAAAAAACAGGGTTAAACGACAAAACTATAAAGGTGACTCTTATTTATTTGTTTTAAGACAGAGTTTAACGCTGTCGCCCAGGCTGAAGTGCAGTGGCACAATCTCGGCTCACTACGACCTCCATCTGGAGTTCAAATGATTCTTCTGTCTCAGCCTCCCGAGTAGCTGGGATTACAGGCGCCCACCACTATGCCAGCTAATTTTTGTGTTTTTAGTAGAGACAGGGTTTCGCCATGTTGGCCAGGCTGGCCTCAAACTCCTGACCTCAGGTGATCTGCCCGCCTCGGCCTCCCAAAGTGCTGGGATTACAGGCATGAGCCACTGTGCCTGGCCAAAGGTGACTCTTCTTTAAAAGTGTCTTTTAGGGATCTGCAGTTTGTCCTATGCCTCCGTGATTTGGAAACATGATGCTTGGCGTTTGAAGAGCAGGTGGGTATGAACAAATGATTTGTGCAACCAGTCACCACTCCTAAAGCAAATGCAGACTACGCTGTCTTCAAGACAGCTGCCAGCGTGAGAACAGTGCCCAGGCAAGGTTGTTGCAGAAGCTTTAGCAATCTCCGTTCTTCCCCGTCCCTTCCCACACTGATGTCTTCAATCTCCACCTCTCCTCTGAGCTCCGGACTCGTGGGTCCAGCCAGATGCTTCCATTTGGTTGTCACGTAGGCGGCTCAGACTTGTGATTCTCTCCCTGCCTCACGGGCTTCGCCTTGCTTTCCTCATTCTACCAACCCATTTCCTTACCCTCAAGCCCTCACATCGCTCCCTCTAAATGGTGCCTCTAACAAATCCTCATCCATCCGTCTCAGCACTGGCCACAGCAGCCTCAGCTCAGTCATCTCTGAGGCCACTGCAGTCATCTCCTCACCAGACCACCTGCTTGCTCTTAGCTCCAGATCCTTCTCTCCACGGAAGACGGGGTTATCTTTTGAAAGAGGTAAACCAGAGCCTAGGTTCCCTGCGTATATGTGAGGCTAGTCACCTGCACATGGCATAAAGCCCAGATTCGTCCCTGTGGTCTGGAGGTCCTCACCCCCGGCCACTGCCATCCCCCCTGAGCTGCAGCTGAGTGGCCTCCCTGCTCTTCCAGCCAGCTCCGTGCTCATGTCTCAGGTTCTTCCCCAGGCTTTGGCGTGGCCAGCTCCGCTTCTCAGAGAGGCTCTCCTGCCCCATCCAAGGCAAGCTCTTCCTCCACGCATCACACCATCCGTTGTGGTGTGGCCTTCATGTCCGCCGCATGTGTTCCTACTTGTTTGCTCTCCCTCCTGTGGAATGTAAGGTCTGCATGACAGGACACCTGGCCGACCCTGCGTGCCCGCATCCTCAGCACCTGGACAGCCTCGCGTGGCCCGCAGGAGTGTGACTGACCGCCGAGTGGCTCTGGTGCGTTTGCCACATTCTCCTGTTCTGGAAGGCTGGCTGCCCACCATCTGCCCTGCTGCAGATGCCCAGCTGTTTCTCCCCACTCCCAGTAAACACTCTTCTCGAGAGAGCCTCCACCTTTGCCCCAAGATTTCTTAGCGGTTTCTTATGCGTCTCCAGGACATATTTCCTAGTAGTAACAGCTAAATGTTTACTGGTGCTTCAGTGTGCCAAGCAGTGTCCTAGGTGCTCTGTGTCTGCTGTGGTACTTAATTCTCAACAGCTTTATGGAGAGTGGGCTTTTTATGGTGGAGGGACCTGAGAGTGGAGAGGAGGGACACAGCCCTTCCTCCTACGGTGGTCTGTCCACAGTGGCATCTGTGGACAGAGATGGATTTGTAGGAGGCTGGGGCTGGTCTGGCCCACGGAGTTGATACTTGTATTACGTAAAGAAAGTAAGGCTCAGAGGGGTTAAGTAATTCACCAGAAGTCACACGGTTAAAACATTTGAGCTGGGATTCAAACCTTGTTTTTTTCTGACTTAGGTACCCAGTCACAGATGGTGAAAACTATTCTCAGCGTAGAAAACATGGAGCATTGGTGTACGGCTGCTTCTAAAAGTTTGTGTTTGGTTGTAAAGCAGACCTAAGATTGCAAATTAATTGCAAATTATTGTCCTGCAGCTAAGATTACTGGAGTCCACAGGAGTGAGGATACTTCTCTTGTCAAGCAGGTAAGACATTCCGCAGGCAAAACTTAAAGTTCTGTACAGCTCAGTGATGATTAATGTGCATCATTACTGATTTAATGAGTCCAGAGACGAGACTGTGTAAGAGGGCAGCTGTTTTTAGTTTTCAGTAAAACTGAGGTTGGGATGATTCTTTATATGCAATACATAGATTTTATGGGACACAGATTTCTGGGCAGAATTACACTGGGCTGTTTCTCACAACTGTGAACTTGTTCTCTTAACTAACATTCCCCCTTTTCAATTCAGTATTAAGTTTTCAAATTTTGATACTTAACATGATAGATTATTTCATAGAAGATTGATGAAAGCCTTGCTCTAAAGTGAAAAACTGTTTTCCCAGCCTCTTCCTGTATTAGATCATTTTTTAATATGTCTTTTTCATTAATGAAAACCCACTTGTCAGTTCTCTTAAAGGTACATTTCCTGGCCACTGCACGCTTTTGATACCCAACTCGGTTAGGATGTGTGGGTTTCATATTGATGCTTCCTAAACTCTCAGAGCAGATTCACTTGGCATCTGATAAATTTTACTCACTGTTTAACTTTTATGCAAGTTTTTAGGTTTGCTAGTTGGCTTTTATTGAATTTCAAAATGCCACTTAGCGAACCCCACAAACACAGGCCCAGCTTCTTGTCAGTTCACCTGTCTGTGTCACAGCCATACACACTTAGGACTCCTTGCTCCACACCCCCTTCCAGGTCCAAAAATCCCACAGGACCACGTTAGGGGAAATGGTTTGATACGAATTTATTCTTAAGGATTAGTTTGTTGACTTGTTTTGTGTTTTTACACTATTTCCTGTATTACCTGAGCATGGATAGGAGAATGAACAGATAACTATGAAAATGTTCAGAGCAGTGCCATTCTAAAATAGTTCCTTTGCAAACAGGATTATTAGAGTAAGAAATAGGCAGATGCCCAGGTAGCTTCTAAGGGGGCCCACCATGGTCCCCACATGGCCTTGTGCAGTCCTTCCCTCCAGCCCCTTGTTTCCAGCCAATAGAAGGCCTCCACATTGAGGGAAATTTCACCTGCCTGATCCCATCACAAAAGATTCTGACTCTTGTCTGGCTACCAGACCCTCCCTTACTGGCCTCAGTAAAGCAAGCTGCCATCCCAGGGAGGGCCACATGGCAAGGAATCAAGTGAGGTTGGAATTGACTGGCAGCTGGCTGCGAACTGAGGCTCCCAGCCCAGCAGGCCGGAAGGAAGTGGATCCTGCTGGCACCAAGTGAAGGCACTTGGAAGTAGGTCCTTCCTCAGTCGGGCCTCAGATGAGACCCCATCTCGGGTGACACCACAACTGCAGCCTGAGAGCCCACAGCAGAGGACCCAGCTAAGCTGTGCCCGGATTCCCCATCCCAGACGCTGGAAAATCGATGCTTGTTGTTTGAGGCCTTGGCACCTGTGTAAATTCATTCCACAGCATCAGATAACTAACACAGTGGGTGTTTAATTAAAGAGAAACATCACTGCAGATATAACCAGCTCTTTGAAATCGGCCACTTTGGTGGCAAATAGTTGCTTATAAAAGATTGAGACAAGCCAACAACTGTTGATGTTTTGTGATTAAAAACTCTTTTAACCTTTAACAAAAAACACACTACCATCTTTT